ATGTCTATGTATGTATGCATGTATGTCTATGTATGTGTGTATGTATGCATGTATGTATGCATGTCTATGTATGTCTATGTATGTATGTATGTATGTAATTACGTATGTATATGTATATGTATATATATGTATATGTATATGTACATGTACGACCAGCAGCAGCAGCAGCACAAAAATAACACATGTTTGTTCTTGATTAAAAACAATGGACGTCGTGCATCAATTGCGTTGATCCAAGGCTGCCCAGTGCATGGAATCGGAGGCTCCGAGGCCATGCTCCGGATCGCACAAATGGAACAAGAACTGCAGAGTAAGTTCGGAGAAGTGCACACCCACAAAGTATCTATATATCTTGGGTATATCGGTATATCATGGTATAGCCCATCACAGTGGATCACAGTGGATCATGATAGTTAGCACAAACCTTCTTCCAACATCAGTGATCATCTTCGACCGACTGGTACTGGTAATGGGACACACCCTGCCTACACCTATTTACCATCGTGTGCACCCATTGTTCCAGCGAACCCAATAAACCCTTGTGGATCTCGTCACCCGGTGGTTCCTTCAATGGAATACTATGGGATAGTAACCCTTGCCGTAGCCTGGGGTACCCCATTATGGCATAGTCTATAGTAGGCTTCTTCAACCTCTCTTATCATTTCTCACCGTGACCGGGCCCGAACGTGACCGGGGACCGCGTCCGCTTCTGCCTCGGTGATGCCCAACGCAGCGTTGTAGACCTGCAACAGGCGTTCACCAGCGAAGCATGGATCGTGACCACCGTCGAGCATCCACCAGACTTATACCTACTCCGTGGCTTGGAAACCATCCGCGCACGACGTTGAGCACCGAAGCCTAGTGGCCGAACGTGCTGCCATCTTCTGCCTATAAGAAAGGTAACCATCCGAACGTCTTCGAACACCGAAGACGGCGCCGCAGCGCTCAAGCCGAAGGGCGATATCTTCCACCGAGCCGATGGCTCGCAGCGCTCGGTGGCAATGGGGCGCAAAGAGTGCCACCGCAGCAGCCCTGGGCGGAGCAGCCGTGGACATCGTAAAAATACACGAATGACTCTCCCTGGAATTCACATGGAAGTGGAGTTCACCACCTGTTTGTAGTGGAAAATGGTCTTCCAAGGGGCCATTCTCCGCTTCCATGTTAGTTCCAGGGAGTGTACTCATTGTAATGTGAGACGTGATGCAGAGGATTCTGAATGCCCCTAATTATTAATGTAGACTCTCGATTAATAGACCCTCCATACAAAAAGGTATTTCAATCCAAATGGGGAGGGTGTATTAATCAATAGTCTACATTACTAACCTGAAACCTTTGGAGGCTATATATACCGCCTCTGCAAACCCTAGTCATTGCCCATGATAAAAGAGTGGGGGGAAGGGAGAAGGAAAGTGAAAGGGAAGTTCAACAACGACGCCAACCACAAGGGGAAAAGGCATGAACACAATTGCACAATGTTATTGATGACTCACTTGTCTTATATACCCAAAGACAACACTCATAAATGACGAAGAAACCAGGATGACATATGAAAGATTCATGTTTGGAGGATCTGCACGTTGGCCGGGGCTTATTTAATTGCACCAACTGACCAATATAGGTCAGAAGACATCGGACCGACGGTGGCCCCACGCCCAAGCGCACGAGGATCCAAATGGACCAAACCTTACAGTTGGCTGGATCTGACATTTACAAAAACAATCCCGCATGGAACAAGATAAAGTCAAACACACGTTCACAACTCACCCCTGTCCGAAATCCACCGTCGTCACTGGTCACTGGTGGGTACGGCAGTGTTTTCGCCGGTGCCAGGCCCGCCTGCTGCGCTTGTGAAGGGCTTTCGCAGCATCGCCCGTGAGCAGGAAATGCTCTGCCTCGAGTTCTGGCAAAGTGGGTCACGATGCAGGTGAAACGAGCTACAAGACAGAAGCCGCGGTCACCCGGCAAGATACAGGGGGAAGAGAAACGCTGGCACCACCTGGGATCAACAAAACAGTATTGACCGGTATTGGCATGTATTTGCAGCATTTTGGGGCTCGAGGTTGTGCAGTTTTCCTGTCAACCTATCCTTGCAGAATTTGCACATCAAAGCGTTAATCGGAAACTACACGAAGCAATCATTCGAATCATTACGCTCAAGGACTCAAGCGCCATTCCACATTCCCCATCGGAAAAGAAGCAAGCAAATCCAAAAAGATTGAGGCATATCCAATGTCTTCCCACAAGGTGCCAACTCGTCTAATACCTCAGTTTCTGGGGGAAAACAACGGATTTCAAGTTTTACATGTCTTGGTCTTTTGAGTGGGGAATCTCATCCCCCAAACAGGTTATCCACTGAGTGGGTACGAGTATAATACGGGATGCTGAACAAACTTAGAAACAAAGTTCCAGGCAAGGCTTGGCAAAATGACAAAGGGGGTAGCGTGAGAGCAAACCACACCCAAACACTGGCGAATTGCGGCAACCGTTCTGGAACTCTAGAAGGTAAGTTACGTGATGTCGTATCATGGAAACACTCTTTGCGGATTTTTTCTTTTTGTTGGTGAGGTTGGCGCCATCCTGTTAAGCGCTGGCGTTGGAACTCTCTCTCTCTCTCTCTCTCTCTGTTTTGCTGACACAACATACTACACGCGTGTTTGCCCACATGGCAGCGCCCAAACAAAAACAAGACACTTCTTCAACCCTTGTAAGAGCATATGCTATAGACACTATAGTATAGTTATATGATGTTATATGTAGTACATGGTTATAGCATGTTATAGTCATATAGTATACTCAACCATGCATCCAAGCTACGCACAGCAAGTGCGTTATCACTTGCACGTCGGAACACGTTGTCTCGTGGGCGCAACTCTTCCTCAAACATTCAGTGTCTCAAGCGGTCAGAGTGAAGGGAGCAAATCAATGAACATCAGGGTTCTCTTGGCCACCTTCCCCTCAACACATTTCAACACCACCGGGGTATCCAGCGCATCCAATCCCGTGCCCCTGGGAACTGTGGGCCTACACCGCCCTACACCCTACACCATTGCCGTCTCCATTTGTTGGCGTCGGCTGGTGCATTGCTTTCGTCGGATGTTTGAGTGGCCCTTTTTAGGCATACCGTTGGATGCCAGTGCCCGTGAGCCGTGTCAGGAGACAAGACGAGACGATACCTCGATCTATAGGCGCCAGCTAGCTGCAACGTCCTCGCCAACAAACTCGAATCACGCCCCCACACATCCCTGACTTCGCCGAAGCTTCTGCATTAGCGGTGGAAGCCGGACATCGTCCAAGTCGAGGAAGCTGGTCCAATCAGCCACCGCCCAATTGGAGGGCTCCATGCTTTCCAGCAACTTCAGCACCTGGAGCAAGAAGCAAAAGGGATCAAAGGGTGAACAAGCTGCTTTTGGAGACCTGCAGAACGTCATGGCGATCGATGGCGATGGATGGCGATGATGGTGAGCAAATCGGGAGTTTTGTGAGACGTACTATAATGTACAATAGTTCGCTGGATGACGCAACACATCTGGAAACTAAAATGAGTCTTTTTCAAGCTAAAAAGATGATGGACATATGGACCTGTTTGTTGAGTTGACCCCAACCTGCGGAGGCATGAAGCCTGTGAAGCCCCTGAACTGCCATCAGCGACATCCGCCCGCATGCGGCCCCGTGGCCCCCCTGGCCCGATGACCAGTTTCGTGGATGGCCCCTTTATGGCCCCTGATGGCCACATCAGAATGTAACTGTTTATTCATCTGGCTGAGCAGCATGCTGCAGCCATATGTTAGGAACTCGTGCTCTACATCTTGATGGGCCCGCCAACAAAAGCACAACAAGTTGGCTCTTGAAATAAGAACAGCCGACTGCAACTCAGCATCTCCCTGATCAAGGCCACAGTTATTCCAAACATGGTGTTCAACCTGTTATGTTCGACTTTGCTTACGCAACATGTGTTCGGAAAAATCGGCTTACGCGAGAAAGCCTGTCTGACAAGGCTCCTTCATGTCACAACAATGGCAGGTTCTGACCCCTGCTCAGGTGGAGGTGGTCTTTCCACTGCACCGATCTCCCGGAGTGCACCGATCTCAACCGAGACACTGGCGTCAAAAAGCCCTCGGGCTCCTCGCAGACGTGTCGCTGGGCTTCACAGGACGAACAGAACGTGCGGTCAAGCTGAGGGAACATCAAAGAACCAATTGTACAACACGCACTCCATAGGTATCACATGTATCACAAAACCAACCCAGTGCCTCTCTCCGTGTGTCTCATTTTCGACTCCTCGTCCCGACACCGAAGACCGCCCACCTGACACTCGCAGCGAGCGGCGATGCCATGCTCGGACGGCTGCGCGGCTGCCACGGCACGGAAGGTCTCCAGTGTCCGAAGCCAGGCGTGTTGGAGAGGCCAAGAGGAGCTGAGGGGGTTGGCAGCGGTCCTCTCCAACAAAAAAACATGCCAAGTGAGTGATGAACTCGCAATCTCGAACACACAAATGTTGGTCTCCGGCTTGGGCAGCAAGCTGGCTGAATTTTCAACGGCGAACCATTTAATCCCCAGTCGAGGATTGCTTGCCCGCCCTGTGCGGATCACTGTGACAAGGGTGCTCGTTGAAGAAGGATGAGCAAGGTCCACCGTGGTCGGTTTCAGCACCGCTCTGGTGGCCAAAAAGGACGGTTTTCGCCCACGAAGAGAGAGCCCGCCTTGCGATCATGTGCGAGAAGTAGGCCATAACATCATGGGCAGCAGCATACTGAACGTCATAAGACCTCAAGCGAACAGCCGGCGGAGCAGCCGTATCATTCTAGCACGAAGACCAGGAACGCACTGCGCCGTTTTGTTTGAAGAGATGGCTGAAAACTGCCTGCAATGAATCTGGCCGAAATGGGTCAGTCTGTGTCCTAGAGATTCCTATAGAGCTCAGTATTCAATTCCTTTCCGGGGTCTTGCGTGCAAAAAGCAAATGCTGGCGCTCCACGCAACCTGTTAGTCACAAGGAACCCCCCCGCGACCCCCGACACCACCTGCCGTGTAGAAACGACCCCAAGGTCTTTCCGACGAAGGCAATGTCTGAGCTGGCCCTCACCTCAAGGACGTGCGAGCAACAGCCAAAGCCCAAAACCGGAGCAGCTGGACTTGGAGATAAGAAAGGAAAACCTTTGGTGGAATCAGTAACTTATCTACCGTATTATCACCGGTATGCCTCTAAAATTCTTGACTAGTCCTAGCCCCTGAGTGTCTTCTTGCTGTGCTGGTGTGACTCAATGTCGTCCCACCATCCAAGCGGCCAAAACAGCGAAGAGGAACACGCAGAAGCAGCCCGCATCTCCTGGCGAAGCCGCGCGGCGGGAAAGTGGCCCCCCCCCCGACGAGTGGGCCCCCCGCGTGTGGAAACAAGCAGCTGAGTGGTCCAGCTAAAGGAACATGTGAACCCGTTCGCAGGGGGCAAGTATCTGCTTGTTCTGTGAACATGGTGCTAGGATTTGCTACAGTAGGTATTGCTAGGTGACATCGCCGTAACCTGCTTCAGGCCAAAGCACAAAAAGGACGGCTCTCCATGGATTTCCATGGTATCCATGGGAGTTCTGACATAGACACAATATCAGGGGTTTCAATCATCTTCAATGAATCATTGACTTCACGTATATTCTGTTCTTGGCTAGTCTAGCAGGGAAAACGCACCATGGGAAACGCGACTGTTCGGGTGCCACTGAGATTCAATCGTCCACCAAGCAGTCACTGCAATCTCTCTATGACAGTCAGTCCTTCTAGCAATAACTGCGTCAACTCAAGTGACTGTGGGTCAAAACCCGGGCAACCTGGCTGATCCCTGAAAATGAAAAAAATCCCTACAAGGGGTGTCAAGCTACCATGGTTTGGAGAGGGAGGCGTTCACTCATAGCCGATTGGTCTAGGCCGTTTACGCAACGGAGGGCTCAACGCAGGGCCCTGCCAGGCGTCGCCTTCGATCTGCCCCCGGCCGCGCATGAGGGCGTTGCGCAACAGGAGGGCCATGTCCCGAGTGGTGCGGTGGATGTGGCCGCCATGCCTGGTCGCGAACTCGAAAAGCCCACAGGATGTCGGATATATACAATGTTGATTCATGTGCTGGTTGGCGGTTTCAGCTCCCTTGGACAAGCAGATGACACATACGAGATGCAGTCAGAGAAGGATGCAATAATATACCCTGAACTGGGTACTGGTTTCAGATATTTTCAGATGCATGTATTTTTTTATCTGTACTTGGCATGGCTGAACGCATTATTCGTATTTTGGCCCCGACCTGGAGGTGAGAGTGTGAGGCTAACACAAACATCACACAAACAAAGGTCACGCTTTCTTTCCACAGCCCGGTGACACCAGTTTTTCCGCAACCGAACCCTGCTCGGCCTGCTCCAGTGAATGAAAGGTTCGTAGATGAGCTCCCGCCATTCGCCTCAGCCGCGCTTCCTCCCACCTGGAGAAAGTCGTGTGCCACCCCCATCCCGAAACAGCACAAGCTAGCAAGAAGTGAACGCTCCCAATGTCCTTGCCTGGAAACCGCACTGTGGTGCATGCAGTTAAACTATATAAATACATCCCCATTAAATATAGGGGAGGGGTCTCGACAAACAATTGGTACAAAAAAAAACTGGGCTCTACAGAATGGCACCTTCGACAAAATGACCCCTAAATTCAGGGCACAGCGTCTCTACGCAATGATCTGCACGACATCAGTTTTATACAACCTGAAGACGTGAAGAGGATGACACATAGCTCAGGTTTCGTTCAACCGTGTTGATCGTTTCAAAAGTCACGTCCACAACCGACCGTCGCTGGCAACGGGACTCTAAGAAGTACTAGTGGGGGTACCCTCTATTCCTTGAAAAAAGGTTGAACAAAGAGAGCCTATACTGATGTCCACTAAGTTCCTTTTGGTTCCTATCAATTTCAACTAAACTTTTGATTCCTATACATTCCTTTTGCTTCCTATCCATTTCCTTCAAAACACTGTTGATTCCTATTGGTTTCTTTGTAAACTCCTTTTGGTTCCTATTGATTTTCTTTTTACTGCCAGCTCCTTTTGATTCCGGTTACCTTTTAAATTCCTTTTGGTTCCATTCCATGTCCTTTGAAACTCCTTGCGGTTCCTATTGGTTTGGGTTGAAATCGTTCAAATATTAACAATTCCTATTTCCTTTGGAATGTTGTAGTCTTTTTTGGAGGCTTCATTTTGCATCAGTTTGTAAAGCAAAAAATGGTTACTACAAAATGCACTTTATATAATTTGTGGTAAGGTGGGCAACGGAAAGACGGTAAGATTGTGCTCGCTTATCCAAGGCACCAGAACTCTTTGATTTCCTTCTTTTCACCTGCATCCAACCAAGTCAGCTCATCATGTTCTCCACAGTCTAGCTCGAAACCAAGCATGGACACTGATTGTTCCATGACTAGGTCAGCGAATTGTGGAAAAACGGCTTTCTTTTGTGAGGAATGCATGTGTGGATCAAATTCACCATCTTTGACTGCCACTCAGCTCGCACTGCAGTCACTGGGTGAATCAGGAAGTCGGCTATGAGGTCAGAGGCCATGAGAAACGAGAAAAAAAGAGATCGACAGAGATCCTGACAAAATCGTTTTGCGCCAGTTGCCACATTGGTGGATGTTTCAATTTCCTGAGGACTGCAGCAATGATACTCTCACCCCACACGTGACTGACCCAGCACCCACGTTTATCTCCTAGTTTTTTACGACCCGATGACCATCCCTCCAACCGAGCTAGGCAGACATGCTCCAGTCTGTGTCGGTGGACTTCATCACCTCGAGGATCTGGAACCAGCTCTTGTACTTTGCCTTGGCGCGCGCATGAGACTCGCCAGAGAATATGGCTGCATTGCTTGCTTCGCCCTTTCAAAAGGTCAAAAACTTTCTACTCTAAGATTCCACGGACCCCATCTAAGCCAAAGATTGCAATGATCTAAGATAGCACTAGATTAATGAAAGAGATTCTAGTCTAGAGCTAGAGCAGGTTTGCAAACAAAAGGATGATATAGAACCTTGACCCAACCCAGAATTCCAAGCTTATTTTTAGATATCATTGAATGAATTGGAAGACCTGAGCAACAACTGTGTTTGACAGATTGGAACGATGTTTTTTGAGTGCAAATAATAAAGAACGTAGATCCCTCTCTTGGCAATGGTTGGTTCCGACAGCAGCTCTTCAGGTCGAGTTTGCGCAGACAGACCAGATGGGCCCCGGTCAAACGCCAAGTCTTCGCACAAACGTTGGAAGTCCTCAGCGCTCATAGATTCCATTAGGTTGCGGCAGACCTCCTCTTTCGTCTGTTGATTCCTTCCAGATCCATAATGACTGTGATTCACACGGGACATCAGAGTTGCCTTCAGTGTTGGATGGGAGCCTGCTACCTTGATAGAGTTCTTCAAAGTTCCATGCTGGATGACAGTACTCCGGTTCCATGTACGCTGAGGCCTGCATAGAGGGCCTGGTTGTAGTCAGCTGCCTGAGCTCTTTTTGAAATGGACCATGATCTTGAACCGACAATATAGGCTCTAACTTTGATTGAGCAAAGTCTTCGCTAAGCTGCTAGGTTTCGCAACACCCCTTCTCACTTCTTTTGATCAGATCCTTAGGCTACTGGGAATCAGCAACCCAGGCATGAAAAGGCTAAACAAGACTCATTGGGAGATGTGACTGGGTCTGGAAGGATATTGTGCAGAGGTCACAAATCACTAAGACAAAAACAAATGATCCGGTTCAATTGAAAAACAATAGTGAGATGAGAACGATCTCTGACTGATGACGGGGTCAAATGCAGAGGCTCTCCAGGCGTCAAACGTTTGCAATCCCCGCATGATTGCCTCATTTGCTTTCGCCTCTGAATTTGATCGAATCTCAGCTTGAATTGATTTGCCTGGGTTTGTGTGTGTGAGGTAGTATGTCACTAGGACACAGGAGTCATAGTCGTCGTCAGCGCTTAATAGGTTTGCATCTCACTTCTAAAATGACCCTACTGTGCCATGACGTCAGAGGTAGACAGTAATTTAGTAGCCATTTATCCTTAGTAAAGTCAGTCAAAGGTCTGTCAGTCAGTAAGTGGGCTGGGCGCAAACCTGTGAACGAGTTGAATCACTGAATATATGTTTTATACAGTAGTATGAGTCTTTCAAAAATTACAATAAGATATACTATTTGTCTCTCAATATAGTAATAATTGTTTAACCGCACGTTTGGTCGGTAAATAGAACAGGACGTGACAGGTCTCAACGACATCGAAACACTAACAATGATACATGAAAGCCAGCGACCCCTCCACTCTGACCAGTGTCACTGTTGCCAAGTTAGTTGCAGCGATGGCATGGCTAGCTCTCTTCGTTTTTTCGGAATCGAGGATTCAGGCAGAGGGTCTTCTCGAGTGAGGTCCCTGTGGCCGATTCAATCATTGAGTCACTGGCTGACACATGACATGACAAACAAACTACTGTCACAGTCACTAGCCACTGAACGTAACATTGCACATGTCCTACTCTTGTCGCGCTCGAATCACGACTATCGTTGAGGGCTACTTAGTGACATGCCACCTGTATTGAACCGGAGACCGACATAGTGAGGCTGAGCGTCTGCTGGAGAAGCTCTTCTGCGTGGGCGACATAGGATGGAAGCACCTCAGGCCGATCCAACCGCCCAGGGCAGAAAACATGAAAACACACATCGCAAAGTATAAGTATCAGCCTGTGTGCGTTGCAGTGACTTAGCAGGTGTCTTACAATGTCTTCGTCTTTCAGTCTTCAACTTAATATAATTTGAGGCTGTATGGATTGTTACATTGTCCAAATAATAGACTGTCAGAAAAATGCAACGCAGGTCGGCGGGTCATGTTGATTTTTTCATTCTCTTGAGTGGCGTTCAATCACCTGCGACTGACGTAGTCAGCAAGTACGATACAATCCGAGACTGACATAGTGTCAGTGAAAGGCCCTCCCACATCATACCCAAAGGGTGTTTAGTTCACAAAGCATTTGCTTTTTGCTTTTTTGGTTGCTTGTCTGACTCAATGCAACAAAAACATGAATCAAATTGATTTCCCTGGAAACTCTTGAAGAGTAGAAATGCGCTGGAATCAGAATTGGGAGCCTATAACTACTGGACTCCTGGAAGGGAACCACTGAAAGAAACTCAGGATTTTTCAAGTGGTCTTGCCAACAATCCACAAATGGGATGACTGAGCCAAAAACAGATGAACACAAAAGAAGACAAGAAAGAACATACAAGACCATATGCTCTTTCTAGCCTTTTTAAAGAACAGATAAGGCTATATAGTCTTATAAAAGACTATATACAGGCAATTACCAGAAAAACTGACTCCTCTCAAACCCCTCTCGGACCTTGCAAAGCTGTCCAAAAGAGGCCTCTACTCAGGCAGCTGGATCTCAAAAACTTTTTCATTCTGAGCATCATGACCGCCCTCAGACTCAGCAGGAGCAGCAACGTCAGGCTGCTTGCGCTCATCACTGTCACGTTCCTCACCATCCACATCCACCCCAATCTCCGCATCACCCTCCACCTGAGCCAACAGGCAAGCCGTTCCTCTTCTTGCTTGCGGAGCTCTTCTTCGAGCCGAGCCTGTTTTCTGCCCGCTCCTGGGTCTTCCGCGCTGCCTCCTCGTCCTCTGCCTTCTGGCGGGCCTCCTCCTCTGCCTTCTTTGCTGCAGCCGCATCATCCTTCTTCTTGCGGGTTGCCACCGCCTCATCCAATGCGTTCTTGCGATCCTCCAGCTCTTTCCGAAGCTTTTCCTACATGATTGACTTGTTCTAGTGCTGATGTCTAGTACTGTCGTGATCCTTTGCGACTGCTGCCTGTGCGCTGGCTGCTGACATTTGCGTTGGCCCTGGGGTGGAGCAAGTTCCTCTATGTTCTGAGCACCCCGGTCGTTGTGCGCTTGGATGGCCAGAGTTCAGGCTGAGTTGTGGACAGATGATCCCCCATGCCTTAAAAAGGGTCAGGGCAGCAGCAGGCGTTGTTTACAGGAAGAGCTTCACGACTGACAGATCGTTTCCTGTGAGCAGATGAAGTCAAGGCTCACACCGAAGAGCTTGGCGTCTACATACAAGACTGCTGGTGTACAGTCGAACCAACGTGCATCAGCAGCGGCGGCATGGCTTTTGGAGTTCTGTGGGTCTTGGGAGCTCCTGCAGGACTATGAGTTCATTCTGACAGCAGTCTGTTTAAACTTACTGTATCTACTGCATGAGGTGACGCTAAATTAACCCAGAAGGATACTCATGAGCTTCACCCCAGACTATAACAGACTCAGGCGTCTGTAGGTTCTCTTTGATTCTTTAAGACTCTAAGTAATTGACATTGCAAACCTGCCCTTCATTCCACGAGTTTTCCTCACCCTTGGCTACGTCTTCTTTAACCTGAAGGAAAAGAAATACTATTTCTCTCTTGGCTTCAAAGCCTATATATGCTGCGTTGGCGGTACCTATGAAGCGTGTGCAGATTGGTGACAAAGCTTCCGAAGCACCATCGTCACTATAGAGTGAAAGTAAAGCGGGTTTTGGCTGTTTCTCCCTGTTTTGTTGTTTTTAAGCAGCTCTCTGATTTGGCTCGCTCATTGGAAACATTCGTGGGTCTGCTTAGTGCAGGACTATTGCTTCTTTCTGAGTGGGCACCTGGGATGCTTCCACACTGGATTTTCAACCATGATGTGAGGGAAGCGTGTCCTTGGCGGCTTTGTGACTTCAACTTGGTGCATCAGGTTGCCGGGTCAGATGAGCTTCAGGAACACTGCTGCGTGTTCAAGCTTGCGCAGGGCTACGATGACATCGTCGCAGCAGCTGTTTACAGGGAAGCTTTTCTGAAGCGGACCGAGCTGGAGTGGCTGTTTAAAGGCAAGAAGACTGGCTCGGGGAAAAACGGCGGCGTTGTGAAGCTAGACCTGGCTTAAGCTGTTGTGGAGTTCTTGCGCGGCCGAGAAACAACGGAAGGTTGATGGGCTCACGAACTCTGCTGGTTCAGCGGTCCCGTGTCCTGACGAGCTGATTGATGCCATTGATCAGTTGGACCCAGTGAGTCGCGAGGACTTCAACGACATGAAAGAAATCTGCAGGGAGCAGAAAAAACGACAGAAACGCATCGTGACACCGACTAGCAGCTTCGGTAGATGCAGCTCAGAGAAAGCCAGAAAATCAGGCAAGAGTCGCAAGAGAGATTCATACAAAGAGCTTGCCAAAGCTCTACACTCCGGATGTACTACAGTCTTTGCTTCCTGGGAAGGGCACGCTTTCGGGAGTGATGATTAAACGACTACCGGGCGCTCGCAAGACCTATCAAGGCTTCTACAAACCAGGCAAGGTTCAATGAAGAACAAATAGGTTTCCCCTGGTATTGGTTAACCACGTTGTTCTCTTCTGAGAAGATTTCAAAGTAGGGTCTTACAATATTCAAATGAACACCCATTGTACTTGAGGCCAAGGGGGGGGCGAAAGCTAGCGCTCCAGAATGGGAAAGTGGAGGGCAGCGAGGTAGGAAAAAACACGGCGCTCTTTTTGGATGCAGGGGTGAAGAGTCCTTTATATGTGGCTCTTTGCCCGGATCCTCCTGCGAGAGAAGAGAGAGAAGAGAGACGGAAAGACGAGAGACAGAGAGGAGAGAGAGAGAGAGAGAGAGAGAGAGGAGAGAGAGATGAGAGAGATGAGAAAGAGATGAGAGAGATGAGAGAGACAGTGAGACAGTGAGAGAGTGAGAGTGAGAGTGAGAGTGAGCGAGTGCGGCCGCAAGATACGCAACGCTAACCGCATGCCAAAGAGCGACGACAGGACGGAGTCGAACTTGCGAAGAGGGAGGAGGGAGGGAGGGAGGGAAGATGGGAGGAAGACAAGGAGGAGGAGAGGGGAGGTGGGGAGACCTGAAAAATCAGGGGTTAGGATTTGCACCCGGTCGAAAGAAACCTTGCTATCGCAAGAGTAACTCCAGCTAGCTTCGCTAGCTTTCGTGATATGTGGCTCTTTGCCCGGATCCTCCTGCGAGAGAAGAGAGAGAAGAGAGACGGAAAGACGAGAGACAGAGAGGAGAGAGAGAGGAGAGAGAGATGAGAGAGATGAGAAAGAGATGAGAGAGATGAGAGAGATGAGAGAGAGAGAGACAGTGAGACAGTGAGAGTGAGAGTGAGCGAGTGCGGCCGCAAGATACGCAACGCTAACCGCATGCCAAAGAGCGACGACAGGACGGAGTCGAACTTGCGAAGAGGGAGGAGGGAGGGA